CATTAACTGCCGGCTATTACGAAGGCTTTTTGTTGCTGGACTACCACCACTCACTTCACTTAACTCTTCACTTCTGATACTACACGAAGGTGATGAGCAGTGAGCTTCTAAAAGTTTTTAATAAATGCAAACTTAGAATCCGATTTTCATATGAAACACCCAGCAATACCATTCGCAGTTGAGACGTCCAACAAACTAACCTTTATTGCTTTGTTCAGCCTCGGTAAGCTTATTCTTGCTTTCCGGCGAATGACCTGCTTCTTTGTATACCATCATATAACATTACGCCTTTGTTTAATAATATCTGTAAGCAGCCAATTTAAAAATCTACTTTTAAGCGAAAAGTACTGGACGACCTTGACGATCTTGTCCCACGCGTTTAATCAGATAAACAGAAGCTAAGTAACAGATTTTGATCTGATCTAAAGGAAATTTAAACTGGTTTCAGAGCCAAACACGATTTTAGATTTTCAAGTACCATAAAATGAATTTTAAAACACGAGAGTCACTATGACTTGCAATCTAGATCGATGAATAACTCTTTAAGTAGTCATCAGTAAAAAAGTGGATCTATGCAAGTCAATCAGAAACAACTCAAACTTGAAAAAGGTTGTGAAAACTGCTAATATAAGAAACGTTGACACACTGACAGAGGAGCGATGAAAAATTACGCCACATTCTCTGTCTTCGATTAGGATTGTAAAGGTACAATAGTACCTTATGTGATAAAACAAGTGAATGTAAAGAAAAACATTTTATGAATTATTGCAAAATGTATTTGGAAATCAGTCTAGAAGGAACATCAGAAGATACTAATGTACTTCAACATTTTATAGAAATTTATTGCGAAATTTCCTTAAAAAATAAAAAGTGACGAATATCCATCCATCTTCTAATAGATACTTGAATTAAATTAAGTACAAGAGAAGAATGTTTGGGTTTTATCTATATTGATGGCTGGCTCTCCGTAACCAAGTCTATAATCACTGGAAATGGGAGAGACACCTGTAGGTGTCATGAAAGATATTACATCACAGTGTGATATAAAACAAATATACTGGACAGCATCAGTCTTTAAAAAATTCATGGCCAGAAGCTACTGTGTAATACAGTGCAATCTTTTACCACAACTGAAACCAAAGATTTACTCCAAAGAAGAAATACCGTTAGATTTAGGTGAGGAGCAGGTCCAATACGCTGCCTCACCAAAACGATTTTCCCTACAGAAAACAAAAACGAGTAACAACTCATCTTTTGTACTAATTTAGTGCAATGATTTTAACCAAAGCAACGCTGCAATGAAACCAAAACGTAACGGACTGAACCTTATCTGATTTTAGGTACTCATAATCTGAAATCAAAAAAGAAATGAACAATCAAACACTTCCCCAGAAAATATAGCTGCACTAATCATGCGTTCAGGTCTCCGCATCATCAGATGTAATGCCGATCTCGTGTTAGACAAACCCGATTACTCCGAACTGGAAATACATACATCCCAATGAAACAAACTGTATCGATCGATCCACTGCCAACCAAGACCATCAACGACGCATATGACCATCAACGACGTTACCGCGAGTGTAACAGCCCATATTGGTGATGATGCTATACCTCAAAGAAAAACGCGGCACGCCCTACCCGCTATCGATGGATGGCTCGCGAACTAACCATCACCAGCACCAACAATGCAAAATCGATGCTGCGCAAGCACAAACACATACACTTTTCCATGATACTGACCAAAGTTACCAACTTTTGAAACTTCACTCTGGAGTTTCTGATGTAAAACGATCATTTCAAGAAGATTAACAGACCTAAATGTAAATCATTTCACCCAATATTTTGACAAATGACAGTTCGAGTCAGGGACCTACATCAAGTGTGATCTCCCATAACACTTTTCAATCTTGCTAAAACTAAAATATGTACAGCAGTGTTTTATCTTTATTCATGGCTGAAGAAAAGTGGCGAAAAAATGGTGCAAACGGTCTAATCACAGGAATGCAGCCATGAACAATGAGACATCTTATTGAAGCTCACCTTAATTTTATTTAAGTGTCCCACAAATACTGGACGGAAAATACGACAGCATGTATCACAAATAAACTGCGGTAAAATTTTATTTGTAGCGAATTATGCACAAAGTGATAAAACATTAGAAGAAATCAGCCGCAGATGGACGGATCTTTTTCACAGCGGTAGTACTTGACTGTCCGAAACTAAGCAAATTATCGGTTATGGATAAGTTGGCGTCTGCATGAGTGATAACGCCCTCTACATTTCTCTTTGATGTTTTCTTTAACAGCTGTGATAAATCTGGAGTACCAGTCGAACATATGGAATGTGATGTCCTAAAATGATAACCTAAATGCTTTTCTGACATCGTCAATAACTTAGATAAAGAGATTCGTTTCATGTGAAAATACGCTGTTTTTCAATAAACAACGGGTTTCTTTAGTTCACTGTGATAGATATAGGTTATTCACAGCTGGGACAACATATGTGAAATTTGAAAAAAATACAGTGACTGCCTGCTTATTATATTTCATTTTTGCAAAAACTAAATATCTGTTTCTAGAAACAGAATAACTCGAAATGTCTGCACAATAATGTTATGTTCAATTCATCTACAAACTGTATTCTTCTGAATTATCAAGAGGATATTTATACATATCTTGAACCAAACGTAACCAAGATGATTATCTGTACAGCTGAAATGATTTCATTTTCATCGAATAGACTTTGCAGCATAATTGACTTTTTTAAACATGAGAGCTCACCCTGACCGTGATGGTGTGCAATTGCAACTGATCTTTAACTCTCTATCTGAGCTCAATCGAATTCCAAGCCCATGTGCTGCAAGACGCCTCGCAGCAGGGGACATCGTAGTAAGCTTTTCTGAAGTGCGTATAGAGCCGAAGCTCGGTGTTCTACTAAAATTATCAGATATCAGACTTTTTAAATGACAACAATAGTGAAGGCTTAGAAAAGTTAGTCGGCTATTTCTAATCAGCTTGTTTATTTAAAGTTACCCAAAAACTGTGCATATGATCTGATGATGAGAGTAATACTGGAAGCAATAGACGAATGAATATTCAAATTAGACACTATATCATGTCGAAATGATAACTGAAGGGCGATAAATGAAAAAACTTACGCATGATGTTTTTCCACTTGTCGCATAGCCACTTTCCGTTTATCATGATAACGCTTTGCAATTGTTTCAGCTATACTTTGAGCTATCTTCTCTCGAACCGGTATTTCAGGAATCTAAAAATCCTACTCAAAAACGCATGTCAACAGTGATTTTAAGACATAGTATACTAGAAAAATGAGTTTATAGAAACTATTGACAACTAAACTCAGATAACTTGCCTTAAAAGCGGGAGCAGAAGATGGTGTAGCCATATCTGAAGCGTCAAGCCGAAATGGCGTCCCCTCGATTTCACCCCACGTCATAAATGGAGATTCATCGACGCCTCAAATCAAATACTTCAAAATTAATTTAGAATAAATAGTCGAATGCATAGCTCTCACCTGTTCACGGTTTGTATGCAAAGTTATAAAAAAAACTTGAAAAATTAAAAAAAAACATAATTCTCACTAATGCGAGTAAAAAAGTACTGCAACTGCAATAAAAAATGAAATTGATTATAACAGTTTGTCCACTGCAAATCAGCAAAAAACACCGAAAATTTATCATCACTATCTCGTTCATGAAATCAAAAAATAAATGAACACTACTTGGCTTCTGAGAGAACGGTATATTTCCTTTTCCTTAAATTGCGATCCTCACCTATGGAGTTGCAAGGTAAGGAAGACAATCTAATGAGATATAAGAAAGCAAATTTAAAGTGAAAATCCGAAAAGCCCCACAGATCTTAACAACAACATAAAAAAATTACCTGGAGTTGGTGATGGGGTGGCAATTAATTCCACCACACCAGTCTTAGAAAAACCTCCTTCACGCCCTGTTATGTCCACCTTTCCTGCATTCACTGCTGTCTGCTGCAGCACTCCTTTAATTGCAGTGATCTGTAATTAGTCACTTATTGTTTGCTCAAAAAAAATTTAAGAAGTTCGTTCTTAAAAAAAGTTCTAAAAAAAATACCTGTCTTTTCTCCCTGCTGACTTCCTCTGAAAAACGGGTGGCGCTTTTGTTTATGATCCTTTGATTTGCTGTCTGTCTTTGAAGATGCTCATCCAGTGTCAACGGTGCCTCTTCAGGATGAAAATGTACAATATTTCGTGCTTTATAAGCCCAGTTATCAAGCTCTTTAGGCTTTCCTAAAATCACTGATTTTCCATTTAAAATAAAAATCGTTGAAATATCTTTGCACTATTTGCTATGCCAATTTGAATATTACATTTCCAACTCCTTTTGAAGTTTTCTTTTTTCAAAGGTAAGAAAAAAAGTTTTCCGGGGTACCGGGACGTATACCATAATGCACAGAAATTGATGCGAAACTTCACAGTTCCAAATTCTGTTATTCTTCATTAGATGTAAGTCAATAAATCTACTAATAAAAAATAACAGAATTTGTTATTAAATTCACTGACATCAAAATTCGGTAAAAACAATGCAGCTTTATGAATACCCATGAATACCGAATTGAAATACCTTCGACGGCTCCAGTAGACAAAGAGATTATGATCTGTTCATCAGCGGCCTTCATTAATTCGTTTCCGCGGGTAATAAACTCTTCATTATGCTTTCTTTCTGCTTCATACATCCATGCGTTACGGATTTGTTCCTTCTTTTTGTGCAACAATGCAAGTTCTTCGAATGAAGCATTATCTTCCGAGGTGAACTTATTCAAATAAGTATCAACCGTAAGACTTTCACATGTCTTTTCCCTCTAGAAACAAATAGTATTGCAGAAATAATAATGAAATTCTAAATAATGCAGTTAATTTGCAAGCATATATTGAAGGTTAATCAAATATTAATTTTCAACTTAAATTTCGTTTTCACAGTGTGGCTGTAGTAGCTCTTCCAAAAAACTGCTTCACACGTAACTATGAATGAAATAAAATTGTCATTGTCCATCTACTCAAGGCACAATCCCCTTTCTTGGCAACTGCTATTGAAATTAAATGCATTATGTTTTCCATATGCAATCCACTACTAAAATCGGACCTTTGTGAAGCTTTTTTCTTTGCTATTTGCAACGTTTGATTTTGTGTAAGAGCTAGGTCCAGGTGTATTGGGATCAAATATAGCCGGGCTGTCAATTGCAATCATAGGTGAAGTACGCCGAATAGTACGCTTTGTGCTGTAGCGCAGCTGCAACTCACGAATTTTCGTCAAGTCATTAGCCGCAACTGCGTCCAAATATTCCTTCTGGGCCTAGAACAAGAATGTTTTAGGTTTTTGTTTTAGACAAATTTGAAAAAGCGCTTCCTCTAAGTCTTAGCAATTTTTTGTCAGAATAAACTCTTTTACTAGGTAATCGAAAAAATACATACTTTCAGTTTTGGCAATTCAGGGAAATAATCCCTCACAATAATTTCTTGAAGACGTCCAAGGTATTTTTCTTCTGGCAGTACAACACGAACTTCCTTCCCTGTCTCCAACTTTTTCGCTGCAAGAACTACTACCTGCAAAATCACTTATCGGATTTCTTTTTATTTCCCCCAGTTCACCCTTCTAAAGTTTCCCTCCCCTACCTCAGCACTGCAACACAAAAATTCGATATTTCTTGTTTTTTTTTTTTTTTAGTATAATGTAATTCCCCAATGATTTCTGAAGACAATGGCTGACTAGCGCAATATGAATAAAGTGCCTGATCGAGGAATCCTTCAGAAGTTGTCACGCAAACTTTTTTTCAGAAACGGGCAAAAAAACGAAATGAATAACCGGAAAGTTCCGCAGCATGTGCAATGAATAAATGGAAGAACGCACCTTTGAACTCTGCAACTTTTGGGGTGGAACAGACACCGCTCGGTCGGCATCGTCAAACGATGTTGGTGTCCCAAACTCCGGGGTAACCATCCTTCCGATAAACTGTAACTACTTGCAGGAACACAGCTGTCAACGGTGAAAAACTTCAAGTAAGCAACACTATGAAATTCTCTAGTTCCCGTGAGAACAGATTCCGTTGTAGCAGAGTTTATGGCTACTAGACGAAATAATTGTTGGTAAATACCTCGGAGGATTGCTGCTCAAATGACTAAGTCAGGGAATGTATCTCGAGAATAGCTATACTGGAAACTTTTTCACCTGTGCATAATGGCAGACAAATGCATGGATAGGTCGAAGGAAGGTGTAATATTCTATGAAGGATATCCTATTTTTCCTAATTTAAAACGTTTCTCACCAATGATGTTCAGGTATTGCTGTCATTTAGAAGTCCAGAAAACAGTGAAAGGTAACACGAACTGAAGAAGTCCTTTCACTACATTCGGATATCTTATAATGAGATCTATCGTATGTTCCTCTAACACTAAGCATCAACTTCAGAAATTTATTAAATAAATATTTAAGATTATGCATTCATTTTTATCTCTGTATTCTTATGTATGCCCTCTCAGCTTTCTCTCTCTCTACATATATATATATATATATATATATATTACATATATAAATTTTTTGCTTAGCACAAATGATATTTGAAACAGTAGTCAAAAATTTTTGGATCTATCAATTTAATCATCGCTGATATTGACAAATGAGGTTCCGTGTGAGGTCAACAGACTAATACTGGTTTGTTTAGATTAACCTAGTTCTTTTTATGATTAATGGTCAGTGTTTTGAAATTTTCCATATTAATTTTTTTTGCCAAATACATAAGCTACGGGACTTATTTCTGTTACAGAAATGTGGGATGTGAAATGAAAAAAAGACATATATTTGCACAGCAAACAATGGCGTACTTTTCGATTTAGATGAAAATATAAGCGCCAAGTTGGGTTTCCAGATGTTTTCCATTGATGTTTGCTTTTGCTGGTTTTTTTAATGATTTACTAAAACTACCACTGTTCTCGAAATCTCATTCCATCACAATTACCACCGTTTTAGTGAGGGTTCAAAAAACTCCCCATTTATAATCTCATCTCGATAAATGGCTTGAACAATTATTCTTTGGTCATGTGATAATATGTCAAATTTCTGAGTAATTATGCACGAGAAAAGGGCGAACTGAATAATTATCTCAATGGTTGTATAAATTACTCTCTTCTAGGGAAGGAAAATATGGTTATATCCTATAATTTAGACATCTCCACGGCATCTGTATTTGTATTCCTCAAATTGCTATTTCGTTGAAAAGCCAGCATATGGAAAATTGTGCTGAAAGAATTATTTATTTGGACAGTTTTGTACTTGCTTGTCACTTGCTATTATAAATCGGGCTGGTTTATGAGTTAACAAGTGGAAAGGTCCTTTTTTCCAAGTTTTCAGTCTCGTATATCAAATGCGAAGCAACTTGAAAAGCTTTTCTTTACTCCATCACTAACCACAATTCACCATCTTTTTGTTACTAAAGTTCCTTTTGGCACACTTATTCCTTTTGGCTGAATAAAATGAACGTATTCATGTTATGACGTAATTTCGACATCTCTGATAGTGGATGATGATGCTGAAATGTTGGTGTTGACTACTAACATAAAGCTGTACTTGAGGATATGGTTCGGTACTGTCCATTCCAATATACCGCTAGATGAATGGGAAGTGGGAGTGTAAAGTAGGCAAATATTTCTGCTAATTCAATCTTTAATCTTCGTTAAAAATAGAGATATTTCAGTGTATTTGAACGGAATGAAATATATTTCGGGAAATATTTGAATCGCAGTAATCTCATATTTGTCTTAGGCTTTTTTGTTTCGTCCATTGCCACTCGATGGGACGTTTCACTCCATAATATGGGTTTCATAGAAAGATTTGTAACTTATTGATGAACTTCTCTATTTTTTCAAAAATATCTTCGAAGAGAACGAGTGTATCAGTTTTTTAATTCCAATTTCATGTTAATTTCCTCTGTTTTAATTGCTTGGTGATTCACCTTCATTACTGCCCAGTTTGGCGCTATTCGTCAGTAGCTGCGTGTTGGGTGAGGATGAAGAATCGCGAATGTGTCGTCGAACAATTGTGCGAAATGCCTGTTTGACACAATGTTTGGTACTTCGAGATATTAGCGTACGGATTCGGAAGCGCTTCCCCACAATGAATAGTTTAGTGGAAGCCGGCATTTGTCATCTTCATTACTTTAGAAGCGGAGCTGAAAATGATTTACTACTCTGTGGCGACGCATTCATCCTCTTACGTCCGCAATGCCAAAACATAGCTACAGAAATTAAAAAAAAATCTTTTTGGCTTTATCTTAGCTCAAATCTTTCTCGACCAGAGGGCAAAAACCAGAAAAAAACTGCAATGAAAGACCCACGTAAAAACAAAAGATAAAACATAAAAATCAGGAAAGAACAAAGAAGCAGATAGCTCAGGTTCCCTTACGGTTAACATTATTCCACCAATTTTAGGCTACAAATGTCTTTTTCTTTTTTCGTTTTATAATCCATCATTGTTTTCTTGCAGAGAAATTAATTTGGCAGGATTTATGACGAAGGAAGAGTTAGAAAGAGCTTTGAAGTATTATACGATAAGTACTGGCTATCGATAACTTGGTCAGTAATGCACGTGTTGAACGCTAGGAGTGGAAAAGTGATAAATGATTTAGAAATGAGCAAACTTGTCGATGTTAGTATTATTTTATATTTCTGTCCTGCAAAGAATGTGTGAACTTTTTTTGTTGAACTTTCTTTTTTTTCAGGAACTGAAAATCTTGAGAGATTGCCTACAAACACTGACAAATTATGACCTACTTTTGGGTGCCTTTACTTTTAGTCTATCCTCAGGTACTTTAACAGATTATATCCTTCTATTTATTCTGTAACCAGTTCATAACTATCCATTGTAAATAAATCAATAAATTTTAAAAAACAAGTAATTCTGAAATGAGATCAAATCGTAAACTTCAACCATTCATTGTACTCTGCTAGGACTCCTATATGCCATTCAGTTGACCTCATGTTGAATGATTTACTTGTCATCCAAAAAAACGCTTGATGCTATCATCAAGCCGTTTTTTCCAAACTCGCTAGCTAAATTTTGTTGACGTCCAATATGCCATTCCTTCATCCGGTTTATTTAAAATTTCTAGCAATACGGCATTATAATACAGTCATTTTGATACCTAACTGACTGTATTGTCATACTTAATGTAATAATAAAGGATCGGGTATGCTCCTGTGATATATTGAAATGGATCAGACGTTGAAAATTCTAGGTGATAAGCATATCCGTCTACTTCGCAAGGCAGCATTTCCTACCAGCTGTTAAGAACGACCTCGAATTTCACGTATGTCAAATCAGTCATTTTTATACAATATGCCATCAGATGTAGCCACCTTTGCTGCTATATAAATTTTCTTGTTTTCTGTCATCTTCGGTTTCTCTCATTAAGCAGCAGCAAAGGATGAAAAAATTTTCAGGAGAACTAGGTGTAATTTCAGTGAGTTCTACTTATATAGTGTAAAATCTGCAAATTTAACTCCTGTAGAAAAGAACATTAAAGACTCTGTTGATAATTGTCGTTTACAGTTCGATACTGTGTTACCCGCGATGACAATGGTCGAGTTATTTTATATCGGGTGAATGAAAGTAGCGATGAATTTACTCAATTCGTTTGGTGAAGATGATGACGATTTAGACTGTAACCTTTTCATCGACAAGAATCTCGCTGTGTGTTTCTGGAATTTTCATTATTGAAATGTTAAATTAGAAATACTGAGTTATATAGACAGAACTCACGTTCCATATCTGATTTCAAGAAGTGACAGTAGTTGGTATCATTAATGAAGAAGCGTAAAGTATACGTAAGGTTCTCGAAAGCTCCATACGAATGAGTAGAAGATTACACGGGATGGTCACGAAAGTGATCCTTTCAGATGACCATATTGATCATACCACCACAGGACTTATTATAAATGTGTTAGAGTGCTAACGAACTTGATAATGCCTTCACGTAGCAAACGTTATTTTTCCAGACTGGTTTTTGTATCGTCGACGTATATCGCAGTGTTGCGCCGAACTTGAGCTTACTAATGCGTGACGGCTTTTCGGGATCCTTTGAAAAGTTGTAATTCGCTTTGTTTGAAAGCGGGGTTAATAACGTTAATTCACGCTTCTTTGCTGATCACATGAGATTGACAAAATTAAAATTATCCAAATTTCAGACTAAGCAGTTTTCTCCTGCTTTAGAACAATCGTTCAAAATTTATTGAAACAGTTGGAATCATGTAGAGGAATAATGTTGGATCTTTCGGCAGCCAGAATTATATACGCATATAGGCACAAAAATGATCCGTATCCTCAGTTTATGAAATATTTCAGCAACTAGTAAAAATGATTGATATTGGCTTGACGCAATGTAAAATTACCTATTCATAGTACGAACCGATCCATTACATGAAGTAAAGTAATGTAAAAAGAGAACTATTGGAATGCAATGCTGTGTATAGCAGACTCTTAACAGTCCCAATTTATCATTATTTCATTTATAAAATTACTGATTTCAATCAAAAAATCAGTTTCTTTTCTGCTTTGAGTCAGTAGTTTTAGGAACTGAAACCAAAAAATAATAGATTATTGTCCGCACAGTTCCCACTTCTCGGTCGTGCTTCATACTTCTAGGAAACATTCACTTAGAAGAACGATTTCTTCTCAAGATTTTAAACATCAGGAAAAGTAGAACTTGACCATTCCTAAGTACTTTCTGATCCAAGGCAATTTTGAACCACCAGTTTATTTGTAGGTTCGAGTATGCTTCTGAGTTATTTGCTGGAGTAACCTTTCGCTTTTTTTTACTTTATGAAAGGTGCTTTCTTTTGGGCCATTCCATGTGGATACAAAGTTTAGTTCGTCTAAATTCAAATATACAATAAATGTATAAACGGGTATAGATAAATCAAACACATAAATCTATACCTTTTTAATAATAGGAAAGCAAGAAAAAGGATAACTTCGTACATAAGACATTATGAACTGTTTCATTTCCAATGGTCAATTTATTTACAAAATGGAACTAAATTAGTAGCGGATAGATGAAAGGAGGTGAATAAAATCATCAGTACAATAACAAATCACTGATGAATCTGAATAAAGAAGCAGATGAAAATTCAGTTGGTATGAATGCATCCGTAAGCTTTTAATAAAGCTTTCAGAGAAAATTCAGCATGTAAATACAAATAGAAATACATTTATCTGCTAATTACTGCTTACATTTGCATTGGAGCTAAAGTTTTGCTATCAGAAATTGAACTTCACTCATTGTGACTAGTTCACAACACCCAACTTTCCAAACCAGATTAAAACTTCCGGGAAAAGCAAGACTTCACCATGAAAGGTTTTCAGCTGTCGAATACAAGCTTTTCTGTGTTGCCACAGTTCATAACAACGATTAAGTTCATTTCATTAATTTAACCTATATGCCCAATTCCTTATTTCCATCTCTCTGTACCTTTATTGAAACTAGGTGGGGTATAAATCCAAATTCGTATTGTCATGGGACACGGAATACTCATGACAATGCATTTCTCCGTCGTTTCATGTGCGACAAGCTTTGTAATATACAAGAAAGTTTAAATTACGAAGAACGCAGCAAAACGTACACCAAATTAACTGCTAGGCGATACCTCAGATTTGCCATTCCCCACAGTTCTACCAATCCAAAATGACACTTTGAAGAAGTCACAGTATGTGCTGCAATATGTTGAGTGTTTGGAACTGCCTAAAATTCTCACTAAATTTCATGAATATCTACATTCCAGCGACACTTCTCACCTTAAATGGTTTTGTAGGATATAATACTGAAGGAATCTCAGGAATAAAGTCACCTAAGCAACACTTTTCCAAAATGGCATAGGTAGTCGTGTCATAAACCGAGATAATAGCGAAGATAAATTACAACAGCAACGACACGACGGGTTGGGTAATTAGAATATTCAATTAGCACTTCGGAAGATTCCGAAATCAGATTGGAAAATCAAGTAATGGTCAGATATGTTGAGATGCCATGCGGAAATCAAGTTACACGAAGGCAAAGAACCACTCCGTTTGTACCATATTTCTGATTAGTGGAACTGTCATATCAAATCTGCAATCTGAGACGATTATTTTTATATGACGGGATGTGATCACTTCACGATTCCCGTCTGAAGGCGAATTTTCACCATATATACATTAATCTTTATCCTTCCGGAAATTATTCGTGGAACTACCTTTTGTCCCATCGATACATTAACAGAAATAATATATGTTAAACACCGTAACTACAAATCATAAACCTATGCTGATGGATTCTGCTAAAATTTAGGCAACAAATTTAACGTAACGGTGAGAATAAAATACGACAACATAACAAAGCTCTCTCAAAGCTAGAGCGTAAATATTTCCTTTCTACTGTTGCCGATATAACTATTCTATTGGCACCATCGGATCTTTAAAAAAAAATTACTTTTAAAGAATAAATCAGTATCAGTAAGATTAATAACGAAATTGTAATCATATAGAAGCTCTACTCAGCACTTTTTGATAAATACATACAGAGAAGAAATTTGTTTACTCGCAGCATACACATTACTCAACACGACTTTGTTGAATCACCTGAAAATAACAAAGTTCGACTTTTTAGTGCGTTTAATGACAAACAGAACTATGAAAACGAATACATGATGACAAGTTTACAACAAATGGTGAGGCCACGTAATTCTGAGTGATCAGTCCAGAGTACGGAATTATGATAGCCAGAAAGATCATATATCAAATATTTCTTCAAGTATTCTTCTATCTTACAATATAATAACCTATACTTTCCCAACATTTTACAGTAGTTAAAGAGGATTTTTGGAATCACCAATCACTAAGATTATTCGAGCTATAAGTATAATGCTCTCGAACGTCATTCCATCTGCATAGGCTCTTGCGTGAGGCCACCTCAGCTAAATAACTGTAGTCTCACAACGACCAGTTCTACTGTAAGAAATAAATAAAGGAAAAACTAGAGTCCACATCCACTACCATTACCTACTCGATGCAACATGAATTTAACCCTCCTGCTTGATGAACCCCGGGCCGTAAACATGACCAAATACAGTTTTACGTTTTTGCAACTTATATGTAATTTTGAGCCTTCTGCTTCGACTAACAGGGTATCATGATTTGCCTCATTCATCATCTTCTTCTTCCAAGCCTAACTGGCCATACTTGGATTTTTTGGAAGGCGGTGGTGATTGGTCGGAATCAAAAGCTCGTGACGCAGCAGCCATTGCAAGCACTGATAATCCATCTTCCGTACTTTCACCACTTGATTGTCTTGAAAGCAAGGTAGTTGAGCACTTATTACTGGTTTCCGATGCACTTGGTACATCCCTAAAAAATATATGCCTATCAACTGAGTTCCAAACATTCAACCTAACAACTATTTCAATTCGCTGGATTTTTTCAGTTACGAAGTTTTCGCGTATTCGATATAGCCGTGCAGAGGACAACTGATTTCGCTGTTATTATAACAATGGTTAATGGTCAATACAACTGATAGATCCTAGTGCATCCTCACATTCTCATACACCGTTCTGAAACTATAGTTTACGTTCTCAGAGAGAATCCACAATTTATAATTTTTCAGAACGTATATCAGTTCTCAAGAACAGAGAATAAGATACCTTTTTTATCAATTGATCTAGTTGCTGCACGTTGTTCAGAAGCTAATTTCTGAGCGATTGGTGGTTTTTCAGCGGTCTGCCAAGCAGATGCTTCGAGTCTTCCAATTATTTCTAGAAAGTCTTTTTTTGAAATATTAACCACAAGTACTTATAACAGCAGAACAGAGATTAATCATGCAAACCTTTATTTTCCAAGTAGCGAAAATTTCAAAATGACCAATTTCACTTAAGCAACCTACAGAAATGCCGATGACAACACATAAAGACTGTTCCTTAGACTGGAGTGTATCAATGCAATCAACATTACCAGTTCAGAGTAAAAGCTTTTAAATTCCAAAAAATTTCAGCGCTGATTATTGAAAAATTCAAAAAAAAACCCGCCTACTCGACCGGAATTATAGTCAGCCTGCTAACTTACCATCAGGTTCATCGTCTTTATCCTCAGATGTTTCTAAATCAGCAGCTATACTAGCTACAGCTGCCGCTGTTTCTAGAGTTTCGGCTGAGGCTGTTGGTGGTGGCTTCGGTTCGGCTGTAATACGAGATCGACAAACTACTGGCCTCGGGATCTCCTGAATGAAGCATCAGAATTAATTACATATGTTTTGCAAGTAAATACCATTCAAAGTACATGAAAGAAAAGAATAAAGTGGAACCTGTCGAAATGTAGGAAGTGAATAAGACGAGCGCGGTTGAACTCGTGGAGCAGTATAAGATAATGAATCGATAGCAACAAGCCGTGACCGTGCATTTCCTGAAACTATTTGAATCTTAACAGGAAAAGTGGACAATATCGGTAAATATATGCAGCTTTGAGGAATGCTTCGCAAACTGCAGACTCAGAAAAAGTCAGTAATGGATGGGAAATTTCGAAAGATTAAAAAGGGTATAGCTAAATACGATACGAAAAGCGTTTTGAACAACAAAGTGTAAAAAACAAAGGGATAAAGTCCAAAGTAAAGTAAGGTAAAGTTAAAAAAAAAGAAATAAAGTTATAAAATAAAGCCACCTCCAACAAAAACCAGAATAATTTCAATAAGGAATAAACAATAAAAGCCCCTTTTTTGAAAGTACCGCAAAATATATATGGGTCAAAATAAATGCTGGAAGTAGAATGAAGTGGGATGTATGGGTGAGAACTAGAACCTACACCAATGTCCGGAAGTGGGATGACAATGAGTGTATAACCTTCAGTGCGCAACTAAAAATTCACAGCGAAACTGAAAGTTCATTAAACAAAACCGTTAGATACATTCGTCTTAATTCACATTCGTGCACTCTAACTGCTTAAGCAGTTTTATTATGTATTAACAACAAGAATGTTTGAACAGTTAGAATGCAAATAATATTTGTTGTGAAGAGCCCTGAAAAAGTAATTTAAAAGAACTCACCACTTATGAATTGTCGCTCATCACGTCGCCGGAAATAGGGACCAATCCTGGATGTTGCTGCATTCGCAGGTCTAGAACTGTTTAAATAATTTAAGTCTTTTATGACTTTTCCCAAATTTTTAATTTACACAATATAAAATAATTTCCCATGACTAACTTGTTATAAATGTCTATCCTTTTTTCACAAATAGTTGGTATGACAGTTCATACGATACTTGACTCCACAGCTTGAAAATGTCAATGTTAAAGCAGCTTTGTCATCTCACGCATCTCTTCTAACTAATTGTGTCTAGCATTATAGAACTATATTACGTTTGTTCGAATCAAGCTGGTTAAACCTCCCTCTCAACAGATAAGATCAATAGAATAGAAGCAGAAGAAAGACCATCTGAAATTATCCTTTTTCCCTATCCTGCAACCGTTGCTCTTAAAATAATAATAAAAAAAAGTACCGATTAGAGTAATCCATAGGTAAAACAACATTCGCTGGTGCTCGTTTTATTCTATTGTCCAATGAAATAGTACTACGGTTACGCCAGTTCGGTAATGGACGAGAAGTGCCTATATAAACATATTTAACACAAACGAAAAACAAACATAATTACAAATTCATAACAGAGTAAATAGAAGACCAATTTTTTCGCAACTTTTCAGACCGTAGTAATTTCTTCAGAAATGACTTTAACTTACCTACAGTAGCAATATAGCGTGGAGGTAAGTGTACCGGTTGCCCAGGGACGGGAGATGATGATGTTCCTGTGCGATTTCGCAATACGATCTATAAAATTACCTTTTAACGCTGTAGGATGTATAACTTATTTTCTTTCAGAGAAAAAGTTACTGGTCTTTGTAGAGCGAGTCTAGAAGATGCAGATGTTAAATTCATCGATGGTGCAACAGACGCATTGCTTGTTGATCTCAATGATATCATTTCAGGAGGTTCAACAACCGATCTATTTACCGTATTATAGACAGTTCTGAAACATACCGCGTGGTAGCTCATTGTTTAAAGGGTAAGTTGTGCATGGATGAAAAATATCGATACATATATAATTCATCCATAGTATAAAATTTTCCCTTCATATTAACTTCAGTTAAATTAACCACGTTTACTCCAATTTATTGGTGGAAACTGAAAGTGACGTGTAATATCGAATTTGCACATCCACTGAATGCAAAACAAACGAATAGAGTAAAATGAAAATTTACCAATGAACAACCATTAACATCTGCATGAATTTATTTTTAGACAATAGGTTAAATTTTTGAGATGTTAAACAGACATATTTGTATTTTTTAATAAAGAAACGTCTAGAATTTTATATGTGAATGCTGAAAGGAATAACTGAACTATTAAAAGTCCAAATCGGTATTACCTTTTGAATCCAATTTTAGGGGTAAAACTGGTTGTGGGGGCTGCAATTCTTCTAGAAATTAACTGTGATGCTGATGCTGCTGCTCTGGTTGGTCCACCATTTAAAAGATCCTGCACCATTGATTTCGACAGCTGTTCTTGTGAGCGATATATGGAGGGACTTAACACATTACCTTCAAAAAAAAACTCCAAAGTATATAACTATTTGGGACTCATTTATAAAAAAGTATACCAAAAAGAAATGAGTACTGCATATAAAATCTGATTTTTGTATCCCATAGCAAAATATGAGTCGAAACACTAAGGATAACGATATTAAGTATAGCAGAATATATTTGCAGACAATTCCAATAAACAGAGCAAAAAATTAGTTGGCTACAGACAAATATTTCAATCAACATCTAACTAATTAATTAGACGCTTTAAAATTAAAGTCCACTGAAACTAACCGCCTAAATAATCCCTGACGTCTGACAGTGAATATCGAGTTCCAGCGGTTCGTCTGGAAATTACTAATTTCACACTTTGATATATTAATGTTCCAACAAACGATGTACGAAATATTCTCAATAGATCTAGATAGTTCAAAAGCTTTCAGATGTCTGCAGAAATTATTTAAACCATGCAGCAGACCTTATTTTGGTTTTGGGAAAATTCTCGGTCACAAACGGTCTAGTTCGAGCACAAGAGTGAAGATCTTCTTCTTGCCATGGCCTATGTAGTGATACACCATGTTGTAATACATCTCCAGAGTTTCTGGAACAGGAAAAAGGATTTTTTAAATACAATAAAAGGCTTGTAGTACAGGAAAAACACGATGGAAAATTTGGGAATCCACCTTGAAAATAATGAAAGGAAGGAAGGTAGATTCATGATGAAGAGCCAAGGGACAGCTTACTGTTTCACTGCATTACTTCACTTTTTATTTGCTGATAATGAATATTTCAGCTCTACATAAAGACAATAAATTTAAAGTCCTGAAGACTTAGTAAAGTGGAAATTGAATATAAGCAGCGAAAAAAGTGGTACATACAAATAAACAAAGAGTATGTAATAAAGCAGACCTTACGGTTCCTTTAGCTGACGTATTTATTTTTACATTAGTTCCACTTTTCTCATCTCTTCTTTCATCAATGACAATGAATTTTATAGGTATGTTCTTATTTCCTTCATCGACATCTCCTACACGTTATCAAGCATTGCTTTTATTGTGGAAGAAATCAAAGGCAATTGAATGTGGGAAATTTCTAATGTTGTCCGTATTACATGTGGCGAAATTAAAATAAAAAAGTGGGAAAAAGCACTGATATGGATGCATGAAAAAATATTTAAAAAAACTAAGCTGAAAATCCAAAAAGTGGGAGATTGTTAACTAGGTCGATAATAACGATTGTATGAAAAGTATCAATATTAATACACAAGTACCCGTAACCATCGATCCATAAACATAAGACTGTGATAATCTTTATATTTTAAAGGCTTTGACGTTAAAAAACAGTCTCACTGTTCACAGCAAATCATCGTAACTTAATTAATTAAACAAGAAAAATGAACACAACTAACCTCCACCATCAGCAGCAGTCGCAGAAGAATCTGCCAATGATTTCGAGTCAGACCTTACATCATTTTGTGCCTGGAGGTTATTTTAATGACATAAAAAGACTTAGATGAATCAAGGATTAATTGAAGGTTAAGGGCTAAAAGCTTCGATGTTTCATCATCGAAAGAAGTAATTTGGAGCAAAGAAATAAATGTAAATAAAACGAACTGTGACGCTTATTAATAAGAAAGTTGGATCAAAAGAAATTAAATATTCTATCCCAATAGTAAAACCACGACATCTAATGGAATAAATAATATTCCGTATTTCCACGTTACTTCTAAGGAAATCCTCGAATAAATCGTAGTAAAATCGTACTTGTACAATAGTAGGTGTATTGCGGATACCCGATGTGTTGCTTATTGGAACCACTCCTTGCTGCATGGTAATTGTTTCCCAATGGTCCACAGTACTGATCGAAGTCTGATTTCTTCTAGCTGGAATAATCTATTCAAAATACTAAACAATAGAAGTCATGTCATCAAAGTGGAGACAGGTACGCCATATGAGAGTGATACTGCAATGGAAGCGAGAAGACATGTACGGAAAATAGTAAAAACGATCAGTCAGAGCTAAAAGAGGTTGCGCTGTATCGTGAAGTTATCAAAATTAAGGATATAATGTGGACAAAGGTAAAGACGTTCATGGAGAAAATATGATCTGGCAGGAGAGGAACAACTTCAGCTAATATTTGAAAATGTGCACTATCCTATCTTTTCAAAAGATGACAGTTAGATACGATTAAATATGAGAATAAAGACTGTAAAGCTTTCAAAAACTAGATATATAATAAGAAAAATGTGCAAACCAATATGTTTGAAACAGAAATTCAATCCATCACCAAAATCCAAACCCAGGGCGCCGCATACGACACATGATGCAAAAAGATGTTGTCGACGATCATCATAAATGTCTTAAATCATGAATATTAACGGAAATATTCCAATTAACAATATAGTACATAGATAAAGCAGTTGAGTATCAGATTAAACTGAAAGACTGCAGATAAACTGCAGATGAGGCGAATACGAAGTATATATAGATTTCAAGCGTATAAGATATATAATTAGCCCACTTACGTGCAATACAATGATTCAATTTTGGAAGTGTCCAATTCGAACAACGATGCATTTTCTTCATCCCCATTTCACTTTTATTCTCAAGAGAAATACGTGTCGGGTCTTTTCCAGAATTCAAAGCTTGTTCGATTTGTTTACATAGTTTGTTTAACAGACCTCGAATAATGTGAGAATCGTGCTCCACACTCGTTTCATTTGGCTCTTTGCTTCTTTCAAGAATTGAACCAGTGACTGTTTCGTAATATTTGTCATTTAACAGAATATTACTCTGAATATCAATTGTTTAAAAATAGAGTTATATTCAGAAGCTGCTGTATATTCGATAATGGGCATTTCCATCCACTAAAAAATCCAAATAGATAGCTAAAGAACATGGAAAACAAACTGGCAATGCAGTTAATTTCAGAGTACAATTTCCAGAAATTGCATTATTGTTTTCTGCGAAAACAGTCATCTGCGGTACTTTCCGGGGATAAAACAGAACTTACTTCAGGAATGAAGATGCACTGTGTACTTTTCATGTCATCTATTTTAAGATAATCTAATTTGTGTTCCTCAGAACCATCCCACTCAAGTCTTGCCTTCAATCTTCTCAACATATATTGATCCTTTGATGAATGATATGAGTGATACTTCCCATTAGCAAGCTGAATCTCCTGTAAGCGACTATCTTCAATTTTTGCTTTCCCTGAAAAATTTGATTTCTATTCCATACATATATTCATCAAGTAATTTCGTCCTCAAATAGTTAAATCTCAATTGCTGACCTGAATGATTAAAGAATACTCCATACAATAGTAAGTTACCTTTCTTTTGGTCTTCCATATCCTTCGTGTAAGAAGCAGTGAGACGACGTACTTTTTCGGCTATCAATTTCCGTAAATCACGAGTGACAGACAATTTCCGTTCAAGAGCAATTAGTTGACAGCGAACTACTTCTTCATCAGTCCAAACTTCAGCATTCCTGTTTAAAACATCAACTGTTATAAAACTGTTATAAAAGTTATATAACTAGGGATGAAAAATATTTCTAGTTATATAACTAGGGATGAATAATATTTCTCCACACGTAAGAATGAACTGCGAGAAAGCTAGAAAATGGATGAAGATGGTAACTTGAAACCAAACACTGGTTTTAAATTCCATTTTTCATTTGCACTTCTTTTAGAAATTCATACACAGTTGCATACAGCGTATGATCGACCACGTTTTAGCAAAAAACATAAACTATCAAAAAAATAAAGAGCTCGACAAAAAATCATGTATTACTTAAGAGGGTCTTCATCATCGTCATCCAAAAAAAGATCATTGAACAAATCTTGTTCTGAACAAGCCCAGTCTTCCACCGTCATCAGTGTTTCATCATCAGCGCTAAAAGATTGTTTGCTTTTTATCGAACTTCAAAAGGATGTTTTTCATTCTCCTTTTATCAATACATCAAATTTAGATTCCTTTTTGGTTTATACAAATTCCTTCCTTACAATCAAAAAACACAGCAACCATGTGGATACAAAACTCACATTGTAGACATATCTTTCGCGTTATTGAGCAGAGTCCTTTCAATACGACGTTGCTCCGCTTCAGCATACTGTGCCAGTTGTTGGAAAAAATGAGTATGCTTAAAAAACAATCAAGAGTAGGAGTCTTTCTTATTTCAAACTACCTTAATCAGCACTTCTAGTAGAATAAACTGATATATCTAAAACCTCTTTAAGATTTAGTTACTTAATGCATTGCGTCTCCAGATGGCGACACAACTGTATTAAGGACACAAATGAGTCTCTCGAAGAAATTTACCATATCAACAGATCATTAATAAATACCATACCACTTCGCAAAAACCTTCCAGTGTCAGCTCTGAAGAACGGCGATAGTTTTTACATGCCAATTGCGTTCGACGACTAACATATGCACAGCGTTGCAAGCAAGCTTCTTTTTCATTTTCATTATCATCAATCCGGTACTTCCACGCACGCCGACTTAAACGAACTCGCCGGTTTCCCTCGCTCTCTTTCTGTTTTATTTTCTGAAACGAATTCCATCCATGTATTCATATGACAATTACGATATAATTGTTGAATCTGACAAGTAAAGTAAAAAAGCAAACTTCCACAACAACTTACCTTACAGATGGCAGACAGCGTGAGATCGTCATGCAATGCATGTCCAAACTTTTCATCACCTGTCTTGGTTCCCATCGCTGCAGTAATTTCTAGCAAATAGAAAAGTTCACATAAAATCTATAACAAAGTCAGCACAATTAGTTGGTTATACGGAGTAATGAAAGAAGAGAAAAATATGATATGTACAGATCCTTCCAGATTTTTTTTTTGAATTACCAGATGGAAACAATAATGCAGCAACTTTCTTTTGATTTTTCTCCCCTCTATTTGCCTATCCCTCTCCCTGTATACAGCATTTTTATATTAAGGTAAATATACAGTAAACAAAGTGGCTTCTGACCATATACGTACAATTTCTACTATTTTAAATGTTTATTCTGGTAATAGTTTGTGATAAAATGAAACAAAGGTGAAATCAGGTAATACAAAATGCAGAACTCCAACAGCAAATCATCTTACAGACCAGTAAGCCAAACACAAGAACAACGAAAAAATATATACCTCTATTAACAGTTGAGCAGCAATCAGTTCAAAAGTAGAAATATAACTATCTGTTTACAGCAGCAACAAATTCTTCTGCAGCTTTAGCCATACCCAGGAATACGCAAACCTTGTGTTGAAGCCAAGTCTGATCACCACTATGTTCGAATGAACTGCTACAGTTATTGTACTTCACAACTAATGCCAATTTTCTATCCTCGCCTCCAGTCGCATAAACATTAAATCTTATACCAATGCGATGCCGTCGTCTGAACACAATTAAACTGAAAAGTAAAACAAATCTTCAGCTTAAGAAACCATCTTCTCTGCTGAAAACACAAACTGTAGCAAATCTGCAATAAAAGAAAATCGCATTAAATGATGAAGAACGGCATATTTTGCACAAACTTTCAGTTTTAGTATTCTTTAGTAAATATTTTGAATGTAAAAATCAGTGAATATTTTGGATGCTAGAAATATCCCGGATACTAAAAGAACCCCAATAAATTAAATTACGAGCAAGGTATTCTGTCGTGGAAAACATGAAAAGTATTCATCTCATCGGTATCAGAAAGGATCACATCAACAAAATAACCAACCTTTCAGTTTCGTTAGCAGACTTTTCAAATGTTTCATCCCACTCCATCGCATCATCTCTATTTGGTACAGACAACTCAATGACAGAAGAATCGCACTGTAAGACATAAACTTTGAGCGACCATACTAACACCTATTTAGATGCGCAAGTCAACATGCTACCTTACACTGTGAAAGTTCAAAACAAAAAACTGCATTATTTACCTTAACATACGACTCATCGTCATTTGTATATGGAGTAATTACAACGCGTGCAAGACTCGCGGAGAAGTTGGATACAGTGAGAAAAAGTGGGCACCACTGATTGCTTACAAGAGCTGCTTGACGTGACAGACGAATATCGGGCACATGATTTCCAGCCAGAACCTAAAAAATCCATCGAAGTTCTTCTTAGTAAGAAAATGCTTTAGAAAAAAATCTATGACAAAACAGCAACAATTAGCATGATGGTGATAATCCTCGGAATCTGGATATGGTAACTAGAAGCAGTTAATTATGTACTGTCTATCTTCACTGATAGACATCTATTTTGAAGTTAAAAGATTATTTGATTTAGTACCTGAATCTTGAATTTAATCGAAGTAGGACTGTATTCTCCTTTGCACAAACTGTGATCGCACTGTTTGCAACGCAGTGAATGACGTCCAGCAAGAGGCGTTCTAATTGGTAAGAGAGGTCGCCCACTGGCTAGAGGTTGTTTTGTTTCTTGCATCAAAGTTGGAATGCTTTCTATACCTATGGTACAAATAAAAGTTTTCTACAAAACAAAGGATATTTCTTTTCGGAACTGTCGGGTACAAAAATTTCCTTAATTAATGTGAGCGACACTTTTCAGTGAGATTTTCTTATATGACCATTACTGATTCAAAAATATAGCCAATTAATTGGCAAAAATTTTTTATTGTTATAAAATATACGTTACAGAATGGTGAGAAAATTTTTAAAAAACAAAATAAACTCGTATCTTGACTACAGTGTTCGAAAAGGTTAAAACTGCGCATTTCTCTTCCGTACTTATGTTGCAAACTGCATAAGAAAAAGAGTATTTCAGCTACTGTTTAATTTAAATACTGACCGATATAAATGATTAAGAAATGCATGGAAACATATAGATTAGTAAGTACTTGTTTCGTGCTCGTCAAAAATGGAATCATCCAGTGGTGCTACATCATCTGTAGATTCTAGTGCTGGGAATTTCTTTTCTGTTCGTTCAGCTAACATTGCTTTTCGTCGGTTATACATTGTCTGTAGACCAAAACGATCCGGAAGAACGGTACTAAGGTTTGTTCTTCTGCAAAACATCATCTTCAGAGTTATAAAAATGTCCGAAGAGGTTAAAACTGCGCACTTCTCCTCAGCATTTGGGTTTAAATTGCACAAGAAATAAGAGTATGATTTTATATTTCCCTACCTTTTATAATATTTGTGCCGTTCACGATCAGCTCTTTCGATAGCTGCGTAATTTCTCATTGTTTCTAGAAATGCAGACAACAGCTGCTCATCTTCAAACTGATATTGTGGCCAAGTTGTTGATGAAGTGGAGTCAGGTATACCCGAATCTGTCGTCGTCCAACGACAGGTATTGCATGATAAATGATAAGTTTCGTTGGATGCCCGTATAACAGCACTCATTCCTGTAACAGTGACAAATATGCTAAGTTACGATAAAGTACGAACTTTGGCTGTGAAAATACAGATTCATTAGTTGACGAAGTTTATGAGAACTTACTACTCATATTGTCAATATACAAACTTTCTTCATCATAAAGTACCCACCGCAAACAGGACACTGGTAGCAGTTGGAGCACCTATTTCTCTTTTGTCGTGCTTCACCGGTCGATACGTTGTCAAGACACGAGGGACAGAACGAAGTGTCCGTTTCTTGACTTACACATAACATACACCGGATGTTGGAACAGTGTCGACAAAAGTACAAGCGATTCAAGCTTTCCCATTCGCCACAACTACATTCATACTTTACCTGATCGATAGAAAACAACGCTGTCATTCCTCCTATCTGGAAAAACATTACTCCATTACTGATTAATAAATGTACCCAACTCTCCTTTTATTTGGATATCACTGGACTTGAATAGAGATGAGACGGATGGGCCGTGAATGAATGGGAAAAATCCCGTCATATCGAAATCCTCCTCATTAATGATTCCACCAAAATCACATACATATATAAACGAAAGAGTTGTAAAGGAAAAAAGAGGAGTGAAGAGAAGCGAGAAGGGCAGTGTACCAACATGCAAGGAACCACTTATCTCACGGACCCTATCAATCCCTCTTAACACCATCCCCCTCGCCCCCAAACTTCTAACATGATACCGTCTGCCACATATCATGGCATCATCCTGGCGGCCTCTGTGCTACCAACCCTCAGCGTTAAATCCAGTTGCTATCAGCGGTAACGATTTTGTTGTTTGTTTTGTCGTGTGGTGGTAATTTTGAGGGGTTTCCATTCAGGAAGACCAGTCTCTTAAAATGTGATTTGATTTTGAAAGGATTGAGGACTGATCGCATGAAGACAAAATCATGGGTAAGTTCGTCTTGTATATTTTCCATTTCTTTATGTGTCATTGCGTTATTTTAAATAATCTGGTGGTATATGATGTGCAGCTGCAGTTAGCAGCGCAACAGCAAGTGTTACACTGCAGATGACAAGCATACGAAACAATAATGACAGGAATAGACAAACAGCAAATTAATTCGAAAGGAAATGTTACTGACAAAAAGTCCCATAATGATTCATAGAAGTGGATCTGACCGACTTCCCATTGTGCTTTTCAAGTAATGATTTTATGATTTTTTTGCGTCTATGTTTTTCACGTCCTCATATGTGTTGTGGTAATATCGAACAAATATTGGGACGACTCATTAAGGTTTGAAGACAATTGAGGAAAGTTTACGTTTTCCAGGGATCCATATTTCGGTTGGCTTACTTTCTGCCCAGCAACTTTGAATATTGCAAGACATGCATCGGTACTCTTAGTTTTCCAAAAATTGATGCAAAATCGGATTTCACGATATGTGTTGAACTGAAACTTCGGATACGTGGTAACCATGCGAACATTCCGAATTAGCAGGTGGTGTTTACGACATCGCAAATGAAGCTCGTCTTAGGTTAATGGAATTTGAGGCTGTAAAACAAGTGCATGGTGGTGTGAAACAGCTTATCGAGATGGAAAGGAAGGCTCAAATAAGACGCTTTCTCTACCTTACCTTCTTAACCAGTATTTCTCATTTCTAATTTACTTTATAAATTTCGCACAATCCGTAATTTAATTTTGTTTGTAATTTACAATTCTTGAAGGTTTCCTATCTCTAAATTTCCTAATTTTTAGCTTTTTTTTTATTTTTCTGATTTCTATACGCATTCCTTCAAAAATACGTTATGCGTCTTTTTTTGAGTTTAAATATGATAAGTCAAATTCGACATGAATGTGAATAACTTTGCGAATTCATTTGTCTAACTTCGAGCTAGTATTTATTGGTAATTAAGGTAGCTGAGCGTCGCTATCAAAATCGAATTTAAATAAACCTATCTTTTGCCGCATGCTGTTATGTTCTAGATATTTCACTTCAACTTCTTTTTTCCAGAATATGACTTATGGAGTACGAATGTTTTTGAATAAGCATAAAGAATTCGCTGCTACAATACACTTATATGCTTTGGGCCACATTATTATCAATTTACTGTACGCCATATTCAATGCAGACAATGATGACCGCCTTCTGTATACAGAATTATAGCTACAATGAACAATAGCATATATCATGGGTTCGAGGTATTTTTTTTATTTAGTTATTTCGGAAGTCAGCTCTTATGATTTTACATTTACCTGCTTATATGACTTTTATTTTCGTTTAATTCTACTGATTTTCATAGCTTATATAAAACCGATTTCTCCCTAAATACACTTAGCTAAGCAATGACTTTTTTCAGTTAGATGCACCATTTCAGATCATTGGAGGTAGGTCGGAAAAAATAGATGACCGACGTTTAAGTGATGTGTTTGAAATGAAATTGCCAGTTCTAGAGTGTTACAAATAAGTGGTTGTTCTTATGCAATAATTATTGGAATTTATAGTAGTTTTTCGATGTTAAGTATCCTTTATATTCATTGAAACTATCCTGAGAAATCACTTTATAATGTCACATTGCATTTTTGAAAATAATATTGCCACCAAACGATCTTATCAACTTCTAGAACTCGACAAACTTCTTCTTATCAGTATCTCCGCTGATCGTCTTAATGTAATGTATATGTTGTGGTCTTTTCCTTCAAATTATTTGTATTTTGGTTGGACATTTCAAGAATGATAAATCTTTTACGGAGTAGTTTTGCCAATGTGTAATTTAGCAGTTTTACGGTTATATTTTTGAACATTCTTTTATTAAAATCTTTCAGGAATAAATTCTATATTTTCAAATAAAAAATTACAAGGAGTGTCCAGAATTTTTGAGATTATGGGACAAAATCTTTCCAAAGTTTTACCGTGAGAAATAGCATAGTTACTTCGAGTAAAAAATTTATCCTCATTTGCTTTAACATTTACTGACGTTGAAGAACGGAAATGGAATTAGACGAGTCGACGAAGAAAGTTTTGAAAGCTATTCCACTGATGAAGACGAAAGCTGGACCGCGGGATGGTGACTCTTGGATTCAGGTTCTGACCATTTTCTCAAAGTATAATTTAAGTCAATAGTCGATGTTTTCCTGTCGAATGAAAATTTCGTGTGTGACTGCTAGTTGCGAAATAGTAACTGTCGGTAAGGTGAATGCATAAATATATTTTTTATCAAATTCTAGAATAAGACAAAGTTCTCCTTACCAACCCTTCATTGGTCATCTTAATGTAGTTGTATATGCCGTGGTTTTTGTTCAGATCATTTATATTTTAGTTGAATATTTGAGAACAAATTTTCTACGGAGTATTTTTGCCATTTTTAGTAACTTTACGGATATATTTTTGACCATCCTTTTGGGTAAAGTGAAACTTGTACTTTCAGAGGTTAAAGGAAGAATATGAAGCTCTGATAGCTTTTATTAACAGCAACAAGGCTGCAGATTTGGATTGGTTTCGTCTGGAAAGTAACAGCGATGGGACAAGATGGTTTGGTAAATGCTGGCATTATCATAACATGCTCAGGTTTCTTAATTTCTCAATAAAGTAGCATTTAATTAGAAACTTGGTTATTCATTGGTTGTTTTTTAGTTTGCTCATATGCAGATAAGGTTTTATTCCTGCCATTTTCCAAAGCATGAAGGTATTTAAGATAGGTCAATTTGCTTTTCATTACAGATATGAATTCGATGTAGAATTTGATATTCCAGTAACATATCCTACTACTGCGCCAGAAATTGCATTACCCGAACTGGATGGCAAAACTGCGAAAATGTATAGGTATTAGCATTCTATTTGCTTATTTTCTTTGTCTTCGTTTTGAGTTGTTTGTATTATTATTCCTTTAATATGTTATGCTGCTGATATGACGTGGAGAGGAGTAACTATCAATCATTCTTATTTACTTCTTTTGGCCATCATTTCAAAAGAAGATTCAAGTGTGAGATTTTTTGCTTTAATAATATAATAAACACTGCATTCAACTAAATTTTAGTTTTATAATGGACTTAAATACTGAACTTATAATAACCATTATATTCCCACGCACTTCTCGCCTTTACTTATTATTTCTAGCACAATTCACGAGTCATACTTGAAAAAAAACTTTTGTAGTTCGATTTGGTGCAGAAGTTATTAATTTTTAATTTTGTTTAATTTCACAGCATTTTAGAGGAGGACGGATTTGCCTATCAGATCACTTCAAACCATTGTGGGCTCGAAATGTACCGAAATTTGGAATTGCACAAGCGTTTTCGTTAGGACTAGGACCTTGGTTAGCAGTGGAAGTTCCAGATTTAGTTGATCGTGGTATGATACAACCAAAAACTGCATGATGTTTCATTGTCAGAACGCGATATTTGAGATCAGATGTTTGGAAATATATTCGAATTTGTTCTTCAGTTTTAAGACTGAATCAAAATATATCAAATGGAAAGTTAGGGCGTGCTTTCAGTATGGATTCTTGTTATTAGCTGATGCTCGATCTTTCTTTCTTTATTTATTTGTATTTTCCTTTCTTTTTTGGGAAAAAAAGGAACCCTTATCTATTGATCTTTCTTTTGAAGAGGAAGTTTTACTTTGAATAGTTTTTGTTTTTTCATCGTTCTACTGTTCCTATTCTCGCAGATAATTATTCACTGAGCAGTAATTTCAGTTATTTGAAGAAATTTGTAGTTTTTGGTTTTGAAGGCGTATGTTTTATAGAGTGTTGACTTTTTTATCGGTTGCCACTATGTTCACTATTGCACTATGTTATTGTTCTATACTATTTATAAATTTATTCTTGTTGGTAATATACAGTATACTATGTGGGAGAATTCGTCTACTGCCACGTTTTTTTTTAACAAGCTTCACAGAATGGGTTAGATCTGATAGCAGAATAATTCTACACCATAAAGTGGTAAAATCCCGTGAAACCATCTCAGTGTTCTTGAATTAAAAGTTTCGGACAGGATTGTCGTGAAATTTTCTTCGGTGGATAGTTCGATGGATTATTTGTGTTGCGTGG